AGAAAAGCAGATTAACATTTAATACTCATAGAAACTTGCCACAAAACTATAGTCAACTGTATCAAGAATAAAAAAAATACATGAAATACTGTGAAAATTTCGTTTTCGTTGAAAAACTATCGCATTCTTACGTACTTTTCGTGTTCCTTACATGAGTCGTGGACCAAGGACCAAATTCGCGGACCAAGGTCCATCGAAAACTTTCCCCTTTTTACGAATTCCAAGCAAAATATTTATGTCTAGAACTTGAAACATCCGGATTATCGAGAGGAACATAAAAGCTATCTTCAGGGAGTATTTCAGCTTGTTACGTTTTGATTCACGTAAGATATTCAAGTTTATGACTTTTAGACACAGACCAAGGACCACATACCGTAACTGAATTTGCAAAAACGCAATTCGTCACTGGCTCAGGTTTGATGCGGGCACCACAAGGTTGACACCACATTTGTGGTAGACTAGTGCACATTTTATCCGCAGTAAATTCTGTCAGGCCCAACAGGAACCAATGATTTAAAGTGTAAAGGAGCCCCATGATATATTTGCAATGCTCGCCATCCCTAAAAGGGATAAACAGAAGGAGGTTGAGACTCAAACAGCCCAGTTAAAGCCAGCTAAGTCGCTTGATCAACAAACCAAAGAACCAAACAGCCCAGATAAAGCAAAGCACGCTGCAGCTGCAAATGCCATTGACTGGTCGTCCATAAACGTCCAACTATTCAACTTCCATGCTCCGGGAGCCTCCGCTCATGGACCCAATGCCTCCTTGACTGAATCATCAGAACCAGTTGGAGCAAGAGCCTCTCATATTCTGTGCAAGTCGTGGAACAAAGGTTGTTGTGTGGGCCCATTTGCCTCTTGTCATTTTGCTCAAGGCTGTTCCAGCTGCTCTGGCGCACATCGTGCTGTCAGCTGCCCAGGGACAGAGCCAGTTCAGACTCCAATCAAGTCCAGCCGCTTGTCCTGATCCCCGTCCAGTTCCTCCAGCAACTCTCGGCAAACGTGAACTCCCGTGTTTGATGTCTGTTGCTAGTTGGTATTTTCTATCTTTAATAACATAGAAACAATAAACAGTCCTTTTATATGCTATTGTTATGATATTGTTTGTTTCCTTCTCATAGTGCCACTTCCCACGGTTTTGGAATAACTCCCCTCAAGGTTGACCAGTTTGCCTGGGAATTGCGACATCATCCAAATCAGCAGCTATGTAACTTTGTATTGGACGGACTGTGGAACGGTTTCAAGCTTGGTTTTCAGCTTGCCCTTTCACTGAAATCAGCTAAGAAAAACAATCCTCAGCCTACCAGCAGCCCTTGGTCATTGATGAGTACTTGGCCCATGAGGATCCCCGGGGTAGGATTGCTGGCCCTTTCAGATCCCCTCCCCTTCCCAACCTTCATATAAGCAGCTTTGCAGTTATTCCCAAAAAGGGTCAGCCTGGGAAGTGGCGTTTGATAGTGGACCTCTCATCCCTAGGTGGAGTAAGCGTCAATCATGGGATCAACGCCCATGAGTTTACCTTGCATTACATAACAGTTGACCAAGTTATCCGCATGGTGTCCCGTCTCGGCAGAGGGGCACTTATGGCTAAGTTTGATGTCGAGGCAGCCTACCATAATATTCCAGTCCACCCATCAGACAACCATTTGCCTGTCGTGAAGAAGGATCTCCTTTTGAATGCCTTGTTTCTTAACGTGCAGTCTCCTTAGGCATTGACTCTAATCATGGGGACTTTGCCTCATTGTCGCATAAGGCAATGTTGGAATTGCAAGAAAAAGACAAGCCAAATCATGCATATAAGTCGTCAAGATGCCTGCACAATTCTGAAGGAAAATCCAGTATAGATATGAATAGAATGCCTTTTGGATCAATGCAATATTGCATTGCATTCTTCAGCTGTACTCATGTTAGCCAAGTAAGTAATCAAAAGGCTGTGCTTGCTACATAATAATATTGTATATTACTATAATACAGATTCTTCTGACAAGTATGTTTCAAGACAGTGTTTAAGCCCCTCTCCTGCATCAATAGCCAATTTTTTAACATCTCACTTGACTCTGATGATGCATTTGAAAAGTTTTTGAAATAATTATGCCAGTTACTCTGTTATTTAACAACAGGCCTATTTCGGATTGCACGTACCTGCTCAACCGATAATAATGATTTCATTTGTCGGTTTTTTTTGCAATCACTCAATCACATTATTTTTGATACAAGATCAGACAAACACAGACACAATAACAGCATTAGTCTGCTAGATTTCTTACTGCTGATCCATTTTTTGAATTATCGATTTCAGATCAGAGAAACACCTGACTACAAAATTTGGCAGGACACCATGGATGCTGAGTTTGGTGGTGGGAAGTTTGGAGATCAACGAGGAGCCATTCGCCCGCGTAGAGGAGAATCTAACTCGCCGCAAGATAACACTTCGAGAAATTTTTTACTCAAACGATCTGCCCTACAATCAGATACGTGCTGTAATTGTTGCACTTATGTTCGGTGTTATCTGTAGTGACTGAAAATGAACTACATCGTTTGATCTTATTAGTCAGAGCACAGGAAGTGAACATTGTTCGGTGGACATAGAAGCGAAGCGACCAGTTTGACAATGTTCCCGCGTGTGCAACTAGTTTGGGTAGATTTTGAAAACAAAGTGTTCCTTCAATAATGATAGGCGAAAAGGGATCAGAAGCAAACGTTTTCTTTATTGGCGAATATGAAAACATCTATTTCTAATAAAATGTTCAAGTAAAAAAATAGTCAAATTTTAGATGGTTGTTCTGTTTTCAGTTTTCGGTCGTTTCGATAGAAAGTCTTTTATCAGAGTTGAACTTGCTCCTGGAATAACCAGAAAAGTCTCTGCGTTTTTGCTTTCCGTGTTTTCTCTTCGTTTCAAACAACAGGTGTTGTTTTTTGGGGGTGAGGTGATCAAAGATTCTGACTGTCAAGAACACTATCGGCAGACAGACCGATATTTGATGGGTTGACTTGAGAGGCACTTTGTCGAGTTTCCATGACACTTGCTTTTGCAAGACGTCTTACAAATTTACAGATGACCGGTTTCAGAGCGCCATTTTGCTGCCTCGAGGGGACGTGATGAGCAATGTCAATATCCGACAGAAACACTTCTGTCCCCATCTCCTGGAATAATTTTATGCACAGGGTGCTAGTTTCAGCTGCGGTTTCACTGCTTTCCTCTGGCAGGCCAATTATTTTTACATTAAATTGGTAGCTATATTCCTCAACCTCGTCAATGGCGTTGCCATCACGTGTGACTTCAGCGCTAAGCTTATTAAGACGACGGCTTAATGCCTTTAGTTGATCAACGACACCAGAATTAGATGCTGACAGGTCATGGTATTCGTCCCTCAGATATTGTAGACTACGAGACACTGTTTCATCATTTGAAGCATTATTATTGCTATTACCAGACGTAGCAGCTGCTTCAGCACCAAACCTTCTCTTACAGCTGCGTCAACCGTATCCTTTAAATCTTGATTTTGTTGCTTTAGTGAAGTAACTGACTCTTTTGGCAAGATTTCAGTGGAAATTATTAACAAAAGGACAGTAGAAAAAACAACTCATTAAGGTAAGAAGCGAGAGCTCAAAATTAAACGTCCATCTTGGCTCCTGACCGCTGACCTATCAGAGAGGCTGAATAAGGGTTCCAATTTTCTCCAAAGTGCCTTCTGGATCTAAATAACTAAGCAGTTTTCTTTAGTCCGTAAATGTAATGTTTTTCTGCAATGCTGTATCATGCTGGGCCCAGCTCGTTAGTTTTGTTTGGAGAATGTTAAATTATCACGGATAGTGATTTACAGGTCGTGTGTACTCTTGCAATAAAACGTGACACTGAGTAGAGCGGAGGTACAAGGCAACTGTAATATCATCACAACTGTGTTTTGAGACTACTGGGAAGCCTTTGCACAAGCAAAGCCTGCTTAAGACATTGAAGACTGTGGACATGTACAACAAATGTCCAGTCTTGAAAGATCTTCACTTCAATTAAAACTCTGTTGCCTTCGCATAGATCTCTAAGATCTTTAAAACTCCCTCCGCAGCTGATGTTTTGATTCTCGAATTAGTAGCGGTCTGTTGCATTTGCGTTTCCAGTCTCATTCACTTCCTTCACCAAGTGACGCGGCTCACAGCGAACCAAGTCACGTGGTACAAGTTTCCTCCCTTGTCCTATTTTTTACTTGGCACTTCGTGCCTCGGTTGCCCTTAGGGCAACGTAGTGTGCACCAGCGAGGATATGGCTTGCAGTTATTGATTTTCAAAATGGCAAACAACAAAGTCGATCTGGGTCAGATAAGAAGCGAAGAAATCGTTTACAGTAGATTCATAAAGATCCCATTAGGCTAATTAATCGTGCTAAGCAACAGGTATAGACATTTTTCAAGGTGGGACTTTAAATAAGTAGTCCATTTATTCACACGAAACTCCTCTGGACCCTGTTATAGTGGTTGTGTCTGCAAAATGGCTTCTAACCCAAGTCGCACAACAAATTTCAGGAAAAAAGAAAAACTTTTATTGGCCACATTGGGTCGAGACTTTCCAGAAGTGGAAAGTAAAGGCTATGATAGTAAAACGTTGGCCAAAACGACAAAGGCATGGGAATAAAATTTTAACTAAGTTTAACTCCCAAAATCTTAACAGCATCAAACACGACCTCAGTTTCAAGGATGCTGGAGGCGGCTGAAACTCCAGTCGTAAAAGGAACACGACTTACATCGTCTTGATGAAAGAAAAACTGGTGGGGGGAAAGCTCCTGCCTCCCAAAGTGAAGTAAGCAAATTAGAAGCGGATGTAATCCCAGCCTCAGTTATCCTCTAGAGCAGGAATTTGATGATGATGCAGGAGAAGAACTTGATTCAAGGCAAGACAAAGACGAGATGGAAGTTATTACATGCAAAGTGGGGCCAAGTCTACTTGCCACGTTGAAGCCCACAAGAATGCCATCAATAGCACTATTCCTTAATTTGTCTGCGACCTTGCTGTTGTTAAAAATGTGCGAGTCCTGCATTGATCAACAACAACAACAACAACAACAGTTTACTCAATTATGAAATAATTTAGGTCTATGTTACCGACAATTGGCAGAGCTATTCTAGGTGGGCAACAACACAATAATTGTCTCTTATAAAGTCGGCAAAGGAACATTACGTAAAGAGGAAGCAATGAAATTAATTAATGAACAAAAGGTGGCACCTATAGATATAAGGAAGGGAAACACTTTAACCCTTTAACTTACAAGAACAATTTAAGTTATTTTTACTAAGCAGTTGAATATAGCAATATAGCAGTTAAACATACGTTATTATAATAGTACCCACCGGCTGATCTCTAAAAGCCAATTGTGTGGTGGATGAGCACACATTAAATTAAGTTTATTCCGTTGTTCAACATCAAAACAAACTGTCTACCCAATTGTTGAGATGCTTGTTGTAGAAAAATAGAGTTTATTGGAGTAACACGTTCTTGTGAGATTAGATGCGTTCACACCAGAGAGAAACCATTCGAATACACCCGCTGTGAAAAAAAGTTTTCAGACAAATCTGCTCTCAATCGTCACCTGAAAGCCCACGAGAAGCGAGCTGCCGAACGTACATTTACTTGCGCAACCTGCGGAGAAACATTTCACAACCGCGCCCCTTACAGCACGCATGTCCACACCGCTCATCAACAACAAACCACCAACCATAAACACAAATGACACACCATCTGCGAAAAAATCTAAGAGGACGGACCAAACAGCTGCAAGTACAGCATCAGAACTATCAGCCACGCCTCATTCCGCTCCTCAAGCATCTGATGCAACTGCAGGTTCCAGTTGGGAAGCGGATCCCATTCTTATCCCTTCAAACCTTGTTTGAAGCTCTGACAAACATATCGCTCAGACGTACCGACAAGACTGGTCCCAGATCTGTACCCGATTTAGCCACCACAACAGATGTCAAGACTGGTACAATTCCACCTCTCAACCATCAACCCCCACAGCCTCCGCAAACAACTGAGCCAGATCTTCGCTGATCAACCCACCGTCTTCAAAATCAACTTGTCGTTTGGTTTCATTCTGCAAAACACAGAAACCAGAGCCCTACAATACCATCACCCGTCTGCCAACAATAATTTGGTGTTAGAACAGCCGTTTCTGGTCTCCTATCAAGATGATTTTGAGGTGTTGTATGACCAAATCAGAAACATCGATTCCCTGGAGTGGGTTCACCAGCAAAGGCCCAGCAGTAAATGGGTGGTGGATTTGATTATGAACATCACCTGGTTTGTTTGGAAAATCCACGATCATCCCATCGGCCGAGGAAAATACTTGCCTGGGTACATTGTAGAGAACCGTGGAATCATCCCACTAGATAGAAAGATTCAAAGAGGCAAACCCTATGAAGAAAATCGCTGTTTTTTCCACTCTCTGGCTCTCCATAACGGTTGCCATACAAAGAATTAAGAGAGGGGCACGAAGTACTATTACCAACAATACCGAGACGCTGGGTTAGGAAAAAAGAAGTTTCATGGTGTCAAGATAAATGAATTAGATGAACTGGAAAAACTACAAAGTAAATGCACATGTGTATAGTCTCACGCCTACTTAAAGCCACGGAGAAGATGAAGATGATCAAGAAAATGCTCCCGAGATTGCTGCTACACTCCTCCGTCGCTCGCATCACCATTTTTCAAGCACGATGTACCTCAACCTCTGTGAAAACCATTTCTCATATATCAAAGATCTCGCCCGGTAATCAAAGTCTTTCTACTGTTCTCGTTGTGGTAAATACAGGAGACGTGCGTCAAATTTAAGACAACACGAAAAGACCTGTGGCGGCAAAGTCCAGCTGAAATATCCTGGCGGAACATATCGCATCCCTAAAACAGTGTTACAAGAAATAGAAGAAGAGGGTATTATGGTCCCTGAAAAAGCATGCTATTTTCCCTACAGAGCCACATTCGATTTTGAGTGCTACTTCGATAAAGAAAAAGTGCAAGAACTGAAGAACACAGACAAATTGAACTGGGAATCTGCCCATGAGCCTCTGAGTGTGAGTGTATGCAGTAGCGTGCCCGATTATGAAGAACTGAAGTGTTTCGTGTCAAGAGGGAGATTCAGACCTAATTCTTGAAGAGTTTGTGCAATACCTCACCACGATTAGCTCCAAAAGTTCATCCCTGCTATGCCAACAGTACGCAGAAGTCTTTGAAGCGCTTAAGTGGGAATCTGTTCCTAGTCGTGGCGTCACAGAAGATGATCAACTCGCACAAATACTCGTACACATCCAGGAAGGAAATGTAGAGTCTGGTGAAGATGAAAATAGTGAAGAAGAAAGCGAAGATCAAAGTAGAGACATTGATTTACTGGGGAGTAATAATGAAGAGGATGAAGAAGAGATTGAATTGGAGAACGAAAAAGACCATGCCTTTCTCGATGATGAGATACAAGAACAGGAAGATGTCTCCTTTTATAGAAGATTTCATGTAGAACTCAATAGAGGCCTTAGACAAGAACAAAGACAACAGCGACAAGAACTGGCCACGTATGAAGACATGTTGTTTGGACAAGAACAAACCAGTGACAACAAAGTCCTTATCCAATTAGAAGAAAAACTGAACGCCTATATACAAGAACTGCCAGTGCTGGGCTTCAATTCTGGGAAGTACGACCTGAACGCCACCAAAGAATTCCTGTTCCCGTACTTAATCAAGCATCATCCTATCAAGTTCACTGTGAAAAGAAACAGTAATTATATGTACCTCAAGACAAACTCCTTAATATCTCTGGACATTTAACTATCCAGCACCTGGATTCAGCTATGGCCAGTTCCTGAAAGCCTACGAATGCGAACAGACCAAAGGGTTCTTTCCTTATGAGTGGATAGACAGGTTGGATAAGCCCGAACAAACATCGCTGCCCCCTTACGCTGCGTTCTACTCAACTCTCAAAAATCAAAACATCTCAGAAGAAGAGTACCGATACTGCCAGCAAGTGTGGGAGGAAAACCAGATGATCACAGTTAAAGAATTTCTCACCTGGTACAATAACTTGGATATGGTGCCTTTCTTAGAAGACATAGAACAAATGAGTGCTTCCTGGCAAGAGTGAAACATCGATATGTTCTGCCCCTGGTCTCACCCTTAAGTACCGTCGAAACAAGTAGACAGTTTTTTCGCAGACATACGTAACAGTTGCCGCTAGCGACAAAGGTGATCGTTTTCAGTCATGTGTCTAAAGAGATGTTATCTCCAAAGGCAAACACATGAGATAACATTCCTTCGCATTTCTTTGCTCACGCTTTGGATGTTTAACGTTGCTTATCCACTTTCGTTTAGTGATACAACATGATCTAGCTAAAAGTGTTCTAACATTTCTTTTCCGCAAGATCGAAGCGAACTAATTACAGCAGACAAAAATGACGTGTCTACCTTTGATGATCTCATGCGAATGGTAAGGAATAAATTAGGGTGTTACAATTTATTCCTGATGAAGAATTGTGGAGTTTGTTTATGGAGAAGCCCGCCATCGTTTAATTCTCAGGAATGTGAAGAATGCGATCACGTGTGCTTACATTTGAGGCATCAGGGAAAGATCACGTGGGCTTAATTCAAATATGTTTCTCTGCAGAGGCAACTGTTTCACGCATCTGTGAAAAAACAGTCTTCCTGTTTCAGTAGTACCTCTTCTCGTTCCTGGACAAACAAACGTTCTTCAGCCTGTTCAACCAACCCGATAGCGATCTCTATCACCTCATTAAAGATAACAACACGGGTGCGCCAAGTATTATCTTTCACCGCTACCATGAGGCCGGCAAAACCAAACTGAGGGAAGCAGAGAGAGGTCAGGCAGCTAAACTGAGTCAAAAAATCGTGGGGTATGACGCGAATGCCTTGTATCTCTGGGCTCTGACGCAAGATATGCCCACCGGCAGCTACGAGCAACGCCTAGCAGAGAATGAGTTCAAACCAAAGGGGTCCATTCGGATGGCGAATGATTGGTTAGAATTTGTAGCTCATAAGGAAAGCATTCATATCCGTCACCAGCTCAACAACACGGAGAAGCATACTGGTGGCAGAAGACTTCCCAACAACGGAATTAACGCCCAGACACAGATGGTCTATCAGTTCCATGGCTGTTTCTGGCACGGTCACGACTGTGCTCTTAACTGAGGAAAAGAAGTCAACGAGAAACCGATGGTAGAACTGCTGGAAGAAACCAGAGCCAACACCGAGTATATTCGCAGCAAAGGCTACCGTGTCGTGGAGATGTGGGAGTGCGAATGGCCGCAAATGAAGAGAACAGAGACCTACAGCGTTTTATCGCCACGGAAGTCCGCAGAACCTAAGATACAATCAAGATTATGAGCTTGGAGGGAATATTGAGCGAGGTGCGACATGAGCGTTTGTTTGGGTGTGTGGAAGTGGATATTCATGTACCAGATCATCTCAAAGACAAGTTCAGTGAAATGTACCCCATCTTCAAGAACACCGAAATCAGCCGTGCTGATATTGGAGACTTCATGAAAAGCTACACAGAAGAGCATAACATCATGGCTCAGCCTCCACGCAGTTTGATTAGGAGTGTGAAAGGAGAAAAAAATCTTGTTGGCCACACCTTTGCTGAAATGGTACTTAGAACACGGCTTAGAAGTGACCAGAGTACACCAAGTGGTTGAATTCACCCCTGATCCCTGTTTTAAACCTTTTGGAGATGCTGTGTCTGACGCGAGGAGAGCCGGTGAGGCTGATCTTAGGAAAGCCACCATTGCAGATGCCATGAAACTTGTAAGTTTTATTGTTTCATTTTTTGCGTTATAGGGGAGGGGAAGTCTATTTTTTTTCGTATACAAATCCTTTTATTAAATCTACATTTTTTCTTTTTTGTTTTTAGGTGGGCAATTCAGGCTATGGAAAAACCATTACCAGCCAACTGAAGCACAGGAACATGGAATATTGTAGTGATGCTGAAGCTAGCAGGAAAGTCAACACACCTGGACAGTATTATCGAGCCGCTGGACAGTATTACCGAGGAGACATACGAAGTAGAGTCCTGTAAGAAGGCAATTAAGTTAAATTTACCGATTCAAGTCGGCTTTTTTGTTCATCAGTATGCCAAGTTACACATGTTACACGTTTATTATGATTTTGTGGATAAATATTTAGATCATGCAGATTTCCAAATGTGTGAAATGGACACAGATAGTGCATATATCACTATCTCAAGGGAAAGTGTAGTCTTTAGTCAAACCAGAACAGAGTTGAATTCGACCAAGATAAATGTAACTGGTTTCCAAAATACCAATGTGATTCGTGACAAGAAGGCTGAACCCAAAACAATTTTTTCTATAAATGAGAGAGCATGCATCTAGCGCATTGTTCTAAATAACATTCACTTCACTTAGAATAAAATAAACAGAGCTGTTGGACCTTTGATTAGCATACAATCTCACCAGCGGTGTGTTTTCTTTTTAAGAAAAAACAACTTGAAAGAGAAGTAAATATCAGGAACACACCTTTTAATGATGACCTCAAAACTGATATGCCCCTGTTTACAGAAACACTTTCATTGCAATAAATTGACCCGCAATTAAATTTTTGAATTGAGTGATTCGTAAATAAAACACTGTAAGTCAAGTCATTCTCTGACTTGAAGCGCGAGTGTGTTCCCATGTGCAACTTCCACGCGTGATCTTCGTGCGTGTGTCTGAAAAAGAACACTGGTTTTTTGGTGCCCTTTCTGCCCTTGATACCCTCAAAAATCAATGATAAATTTCCTGTTGTGAACTCTTTTGTTTGACTATTTTTCCCTAAATTCTCAAATTTCTATTCTAACACATCCTCAAATTTTGATGCTACACATGGGAAGCACTATGGGTGAATTTCTAAGAACTCTCAGGTGGATTGTCTTATTCTTCTACTTGTTTTGTACCGAGATTTGGAGAATCAAGTGTTTAGAGAATAGATGTTACTGCGAGGAGGAACTGTGATTAATAGACTGTTCCCGAGCAAAATTGAAGGCAATACCTAAATCAGTGCCACTGGTCAACTACACCACGCTCAACTTGAGACATAATTTATTGGTTCAAGCAAATTTTTCCGTGTTGGAGGAACAACTTCCCAATTTAAAAACGGTGGACCTGAGGGACAACTCGTTAGACTGCAAAGGATTCCCAGACAAAACGATTTTAGGAGTAATCACTGACTGTGAAATTACCAAGGCGGTGTCTGTGAAAACCACTACAACGACAAAGGTGGCCAGAACAACTCTCAAGGTGAACTCGCGCCAACCAAAAACGACTACAAATATTTTATCACCACGAGATCTAGACCCTGTTACTTCCATAATTTTTTATATGCCTGTTTTGATCTCAACATTTGTATTAATGCTGGTCCTCATCGTTTGTTTAAATTGAAGCGCACAAGGACACTTCCGATTTCCCATGTGCTGAGTCTTTTTAATGCTGATAGCGAGGAACATGTAGTATTCGATGTCACTGCATTGTAAATACGCAATGGATTTCGTGTGTTATTGCACCAAAATCTAGAGAAAAATATATTAACTTTTACAAACCATGTAAAATATAAGTCTGTTGATGTTATTCTAGGGACTGAGTTTAATTTTCATTAAAATTGTGGTAAAATTGGCTATGACTTTTTCATTTATGGTGGCTCCTAAAACAGCTGTTTGTTTTTACCTATCCCACGAAACAGGATAGGCGGAGATAATTCAGAACTTGTCTGCATACTTCTCGCTGTGGGAGTAGTATATACAGCTGTCCTTAGCGGGAAAACCCCAACAAAGTTCATAGGTAGACAAAAACGTTTTATCACCTTTTTTTTTAATTCCCAGTGCATTGATTCTAACGGTAGGACATTTATTCTAGTAAGTAAAAAGTGTCCGATTCTCAATAACTCCATGCTGTCGCTGCCCACCTTCCATTTCATTAGAAGACAGATAGCAAGGCAAAAACCACAAAGATTTTTCAGGGACTATTCAAATTTTCACTCTGAGGCCTACCTGAATGACATAAAGTCAGCTGACTGGAGTGGTACACTAAATGACCCAAGTGACATCCACACTAAAGCCAGCAGCTTTGTTGAAAAACATAAAGGCATAGTTAATAAACATGTGCCAATTAAACGTATACCCTGAAGCCATCTCAGGGCTCGACATTGCGACCTGTGGCGTCACCAATGCGACCAGCTTTTACTCAGTGGCGACTAAATTTTCACGCCTGGTCGCCAACCTGGCCCCCAAGATAGGTGACTTTCTTCTTTGGGAAAACTTACAATGATAATTTGTTACCCTTTACAAAACTAACTGATAGTTAATGGTAAAGAGTACTGTAAATCTCTTGAGATAGAAGAAAGCAAAGAGCTTGAGAGGCAAAAATCATAGAGAAAGCAAAATTGGGAGAATCAGAATTGGAAAATAGCCCTTTACCACTTCTGATGGTCGCTCAAAATCATTTTTAGGGTTGTGCCAAAATTCTTCATAGAAACAAGAAAATAGCTCCAAAGTATGTTTGCTTACTCTTCTTAGATTTTCACTCACAGCAATTCAGCTCACACGTTGAGCCTTCAAGTATTTTTACATGCTATCTTGCAGCATTTCTTAAAATCAACTTCTTCTGCATTACAAGAGTAGTGGCCCCTTTGAATTAAATAAATGCTACACTTTTTGTAATTAGGGTTGCACAATGCTTAAATTGAAATATCTATCACTGGTTATGATACATCAACCATGAATAAATATTTCTTTAATTATCATGGGTGACAAATTACTCCTTTAATTTAAACATCACTTGTGAAAAATCAAAATTGCTCTGGCAACGTTGCATACATCTCTGTGCCAAAATGGCATCACCATCTTAAAATGTTATGAATGGATATGTCTCGGCATTAAAAGACGCTTTAGAAAACCTAAACACATGAAAGAGCATATCAAGAAGGATTCCAATACCTGTTGTGTGGAAAAATTCAGAAAATAGACAAGACAAGACTTAATAATAATAATATTTCCTGTACAACTTCTTGGCACACAGTTAGCCAAAAACACTAGACGTGGCATGCCAAATTAACTCTATTACAAATCAGATAATACAGTGGGTTCTCGATACAATAAACTTTTTTAACACCCTACAGCACAGTGCCTCCTGCCTGCAACGTTCACTGACGAAATTAACAAAAGGAATGGTTTCAATATATCACAGCGGGAAAACATTAACTATCCACCAACACATGTTATCATTCCTGGAAGTAGTGTTTGAATCGTCATTGCAACTAGTGCCCTTGATACGAGTTACAGGTTTACACCAGATTATCAACTACGGTCTTACAAACAACATTGAATTGTTTGAAAATTCATTTAGAAGAGCAGGCAAGGATGAAATTGTCACAAGATTTTCATAACAAGCTGTGTACGTGCAGCTAGGAATTGTAAGCACTGTACTTTGCCCTTGTGTTTTGATTTATTTTTCAGGATCTTCACCTGATAATTAGACAATGTGTTCAGAAGTGCAAGTTTATACATATAATTTTCAAAAGTCTGGTGCATTGACGTTTCACAGAAATGTGTCCGAAAATTGGCAAAGCTTTTAACAGCACCATGAGATTTTAGGCAACCAAAAGAGAGATGATCCAGTGAAAATAGTGGCATTACTCAGCTGTGCCGTCAAGAATGCCACCGAAGTTTTCATATAGACAAAGCCCTCAAGCAGTTTGATTGTTACTGTAACCACAGGATAAACATCAAAAATGTCATTTTTGCAAGCAGAGAAAAGATTTTGAAAAGAAAAAGAGAAAAATTTTGAAATGGTGGATCAACTTGTTACATGTTTGAAAGACAAGGTGACATCATTGGACTAAGCATCTATCAATAACATGGCACAAAACAAGTTTGCATTTAGCATACCAGATCTTGCTGTTAAGAAACTACTGTTGCAAGAAGAAAGCTCCATATTCAAGAAAGCGATTTGTATGAGTAGCTCAAGGTGTTTCCCTTGGTGACTTCAGAGTTGCTAGTGGAACAGCTTATTGGAGGAATTCCTTCTGTTGAGACACCTTGTCAGCTTATTGGTGTTAAAACTGCCACTTATAAAAGCTGCAAAATGCACATTTAGCGATTGGAAACGGTATATAAATCTGGTATTTGCCAAGTGGGAATGTCAATTTGATTCCTTCCAAATGTCTTGCCTTACAATCGTACTTGGTGTTTCTCGTACTCATCATGTTAGCAACAAGGAAGTCTACGATAGAACATGAACAATTCCCCTTTCACAATCCGTTTAAGCCCGACTCAAGAAAGACAAGTTTTGTCTAAGTCGCCTTTCATATCTGAGAAGTGGATACTGATGGCAAATACTCAACTTTCAACACTCACACCCCTAGACATACCCCTAAGTGTGTTTGATTTCTTTTTTTTGTTGTTTAAGTTCAATCTCAGCTTTAGTGGTCTGTTATAATTAATTTTTGTTTCCTTAGATTTGCAAAGATCAGACCCCTGTTGGTTCCCATGGTTGCCTTCAATGAGACAGTTATCATGGTAAATACCCGTGCTTACAAAGTCAGTCACATCGTAAAAAGTATGTTTGAAATACCAATGCGCAATACAATTAAACTAACACAAGGGAGACACTCCCATGTGTAACTCTAACAGACTGCAAATGGTAAAAATGACCAATGTCTGCATAAGAGATAACCATGTCACATCAAACAAGTTTTTTAAATTGTTCAAGATAGCTCATCTTTAACTAGAGCATCTCTTTTGTCATGCAGTCTAGGTTGAAACCCAAAATTGGAATAGCCTAGCTATGTGTATGTGTGTTTTTCCTACAGGCAAGTCCTTCATTAGTTCTTATTCTGTGTGAGCTTAAAGCCCTGATTCCTCAAAGTTTAATCATCAAGTAAACTTTTGCCTTCTTACAGCCAAAAACTGCACCTGGTTTTGAAAAACAAAAGAATTGCCACTGGCACACCATGGATATCTTTAAAACA